GAATAAATTGGAAAGAACCTTCAGATGAAACTTTCCAAATCCTCAATTGGATATTTCACTGTTCGAAAGTTATTCTCAAAGTTTCAAATAAAAAACCTCCAAATATTTTCGAACCTTCAATTTACATGAAATTTATTTTCATCCTTTTACATCGAAAAATCACATAACTTTGAATATTCAATGAAATTCCAATTTCGCAATGATTATTCCGCGATAAAAACGCGCGACGTATATGGAAAAACTTGGAATCGAAATCTCGCAAAGCTGTTCTCACAACTCCATTAGTGATTTTATAAATTTAATTTTAAACCCCAATTTCAAAGAAGAATCGTCAATATCAATTTAAATATCAATTTAAACCCACGTATTTTACATTCTTTTGTTAACAGTAATCGCAGTGAATTGAATATAGCATTTACCTCTAACGGATTTGCAACATTCATTTTCCGTTGAAATGGTTAAAATTTATGTCATGCGCAAAACGGAAAATTCATTCGTGTCCCTAAATGCTTGAGTTGTTAAAAAGTTAACCGGATTTAATACCACAATACCGTAATGTGGTTTAAAATTTATAAAGTCCGAATGTCATCGAATTTCCACGAAAAATGGTAACATTAATGAACTAATGAATTATCACGCTTTAATTTTAGATTAGATGAAACTCGATACCATTGTGAGTTAAATCGTTTCTGAAAAATTTAACAATAAATTTCTGTTGGCACTTTACTCTTGATTCGCGGCGATTTAAAAATAAACTTGGATTGTTTTTTTTTGAGTACACGTGAAAGCAAATGGATAAATTGGAGTGGGGAAATGGGGTAATAAGATGGTGTATCTCTAGAAGTGGAAGAGCTCATTAAGTCGAGTATAGAACTAACTTGGCCGCGATAGCTAAATAATCGGATTCCCTTTCTCCTTTCTCGAGAGTAGCAGGAATTCCTATCAAGGACTCTGTGATCTACATAATACACCAGGGTACATCGAAAAGAAGAATAAATTTATTCAAATCAGGATTTATATCTCGAATTGTGATAGTTGGATTGCTGCCCGATATTTCTGGCGACCCAATGGCCAATTAGTGATTTCAATCAATTTGAATTATCACGTTTAATCGAGACAGAGGCAGTCTGTTATTTTACCGAACAATCGTTGAACCTGAATCTATAAAACACTGGGATTTGCATACAATTATTTTTGGCAATTATTCCTCAGTTTTTCCTCAAGTGGAGATGAATTTCTTCCTCAAATTGAATTTTATTCGTCAAGTATTACCTTGACCCTCACTTTCTCTCTTCAAGGTTGTACGGCTCTGCTTCAGGGTTAAGCTAACACCCTTCCATGAGGGCTCATGAAAAATATTTCATGAATAATTATTTGTTCTAAATAAATTAGAAGAGAATTAGCATAGAATTTCACAATTGAAATTACACTGTGTATTTTTTATTAGAAGTTTTATCTCCGATTTTAATTATTTGTCTTCTCTACTGCATTCTATCGAAAGGTCAGAATGAAAGAAAAGTTAACGGGTGCTCTTTAACTATTCGTAGGAATATTAAAATTCTTAAATTCTTCCCAATACCGATGAAAAGTTGGAATAACTAAATTTTTTTCCTGGTCATTTTTTCCCTTTTTTTTAGACATTCTTGGTTTGTTTATTTTTTTAGAAAAAATATCGATTGAATTCTAATTAAATGTAGTGATCTTTTTTCGTGATTAGAGACGAATAATTTGAACACTTTCCGAAGACATCAGTGATAATGTGATATTTTTTTTCTGATCATCTTTCTTTTTATTTTGTTTACAATGGAATGAGCTTGATTCAATTAAAATTGCATCGGTAATTGTTATTTGCCCCGAGTAAATGAGAAACGGATTTGCCGAGAATTTGCTATTTCGTTCGAGTAAATTGAGGTGACTAATTTTTGTGGTAAAGAAATGAACAGGTCTCGGTAGGGCCCATGAAAAGTCTTCCACTAACAATTATTTGTCCGGAATGCATTTGAGAATAATTACAGATAGTTTTCTAATTAGAATTCCACTCCACAATAAAATCAAATTCAAATGATCATAATACAAAAAATTTCGTTTTAATCACTCCTTCCTCCTTTCTCATATTCTCGCATTAATTTTCTTTTCAAAATAATATAAACGGAATATATTCATATTATTACTCCATTAGTGAAGAAAAACAATAGGAAAACATTTCGAAAGGCTTGAATGATAAATCAATAGTTTGATTTTTCACTGATGATGGACTTTGTTTATATTAGGATGATCCGAATGAAATTCAATTAAAATTCCATGACCGAAGGATTGTTATTTGTCGTGAATTAGAAACGGATCAGGATAGAATTTGCCAACGCGTTCAAGTAGATTAAGGGGAGAAATTTTAGTGGTAAAAAAAAAGAAACTCGTCTCAGGAGAAGAATTCGATTAGCAGAAGGGACGTCTGAAGGAACCGATAAGCCACTGTATAGGCATTTCTCACGGCAGTAGAACTAACTGGATTATGCGCTTGCCCACACCAAATTACCAGGCAAACGTTCGGCAAACTCAATTGTGGATTTGCCACCATCGTTGAATAGAGTAGGAGTTGAGGATCTACCACACACGTAATTTCCAAGATAAGTTGCCAACCCGCTTGTTACTCTGATGGGAGTGTTCGGTATCACGCATCTATCTGGAAATGGAAATCCTCCTTTTTTTTTTTATCGCTGAGAATGTATTAACCCATTTGCCTATTTAAAAAGTTCAGACACATCGAGAGTTGATTCGTATCTTGGATGTTATCACTCCTTACTGATTTATTTGACGCTCTTGATAGCCTGGACATTGCAATTTTCGTGTTACTATCAATTGAAATATCTCGATACAGATCGACAATCCGGCGACACATGTCGCGTACAATATTCAGGAAATATCATAGGGAATCGAACGATTTTTTATTCAGACTCCTGCTCCGCACAGATTTCGAGATATTGACATTCATTGCAGTGAAAAATCATCTGACCACATGACACATCAACTCCGATGTATCTTGAGAAATAAAAGTCGTATAAAATTATCTAAAAAACCATTTTACTCGTTTAAAAATTCGTTCTTTAGAAGATTTGGCCGAATTATCGATAATTAATGAGATATTTCAATTGAGAATATATACTTGAACAGAACGCGACCGAAAATTGCCGAAATGACTAGACACGTCACACGGAAAAAAGATATTTAAAAAAAAAAACATATTTAATTTTATTTAGGAGAGTGCAGGGTAATCTGAACATGTTTTTGTTTAAATTGGGGCAGTAGCAATTAATTCTGTCAAGTGTCCTTCTTGGGCCACAAAATGGCCATTTGAAATCATAAAAGCCATTTTGAAAATTATTTAATTAATATCAGATTGAATACTAAATTTATGATCTCGTAAAAAAATTATTTTTTCGACTGTAAAATAAAAAATATCGTCGAAGCACGAACAATTAAAATTTCTAGCTTTTGCAAGTTTAAAAATTTTTTCCAGTTTTGAGACAATTTTTATCTAAATGATTTATTATACCCAATGATTCCCTTATCAAGGAGAATTGAGATATAATTAATCTTAAACAATTGTTTTATCAAACTAAACAATTGCATGTCTCATCAGTATATAAGCTCGCATCTTATTTCTTACATACCAGGACAATACAGAATTGGCGGATAATATTTATATTTTTAATAAATTTTTCGTCGATGACAAAAAAAAATTGTATGTCACAATATCCAAGGAGAAAGAAGCTTTGGCGGTGCAACTTTCATGAGAGAAACAAATATCCTTCTTATTTGGCTTTTCGTATTGGATACACGTGAAACTTGTCATGTGTGTGGGTAAAACAGAACAAAAAAAGGGGATGAAGAAAAACCGGTGGAAAAATGAAATACCCGGGACATTGTCGTCTCGTGGGACACGTTTCTTGAATTCAACACCCGCAATGTCGCACCCCATCCTCTGGAAGCTGTCGTTCGATATAAGTTTTAGACCTCCTGTAAACTCACCGTATTCCAAAGTTGGTTAAAGGTCGGATCCCACCGGTCTGCGGTTCCTCACGCCTTCACCTGCTCCACTTCTTCACTCTATTTCACCCCCAACTTGCAAAAAAGTGTCTCCAATTTTTTTTTTTTCAACACCCCTTCCTCCGTATGCCAGATTAATTATCACTTTTTAACATGAAAAAGTTCATTCTGATTTTCCACTTTATTTAATCCCTCTTCATTTCATTCCACTGTCACAGCGTGAACGATATTTCAAACAAAAATTGACAGTAACTGAACTATTGGTTTGTTTTTTTTTTCTTCCAATTGTTATTTGGTCTGATTGAAAAATAAAATGAAGAATTGCAGGATTTCCACAGATTTTGATCGACGTTGTGGCGGCTGTCAGTTCTCTATCGATTGATGTTTTATTTTCAATTAACACATAATGTTAACGCGTAACAGAGTGTTTCGATATTCCTCAGCCTTTCGGTTTGTTTTTCCGTGCGTTGAACTCAGTTGGAAATATTTTTTTTTTTTTTTTATCGACGGCAAATTCTGCCGAGTGAATCCATACGCTGCATGAGCTGGCGGGAAGATCGATTGAATTGTTCGACGGCCAATCAGACACGACGTGACGGACTCCAGGCCAAACAAATTACTTCCTCACGATTAACTGCACGATAGTACACATAAGCTTCTGCACTGTCAGTGGACCGAATGTCTATCGTCTTTTCGGGATCATAATTGGGTGGAGATGGGGAGGTCGTTTTTTTTTTTTTGATCAGTCGTTTTTTTTTCTTTCAAATTTTTTTTTTTTTATTGCGTTGCCTTGGAGACGCGGATATGCACCAGCAGAACTACCGCGATGTACTGACGACTGTGAATTGAGTGCTACAAGAAGACATTCACCGATTCTTTAAGCTTACCCAGAACGACAAATACATGGATTTGATGTTGTGTGTTTTACCCACTCTCTTGGACTGTCTGAGGCTGGTTTATCTCAGCCTCGGTGGACCCCTCTTTTTCTACCTCTCTGGAAAGTGAAATCGAACGGTTTGCTTTACAGGATAGTTATCGGTTAGGCCAGACTCTTCGAGTGATTTTGTATGCATTTTCAGAGTGACTACTGTGGGTTATTTTTTTTTTTTAGTCAATTTGAGAGGTATGTTTCAACTTCATGATGTGGCCGATGAATTGAAGCTGCAAAGGAGAATTATTGCGGGTTTTTTTTAGGCTTTCTGATTGTCTCCAGCGGTTGTAAATACACGAACAAAAATTCCTGGGGAAATTGTCGGATTACTGTTGCATAATTACACTTGAAATCGCAAATAAAAAACTGGACATTAACAACGACAAAGTGATATGAGATTCGTGCTGAATTTTTCATTGACAAATCGGTTAATGTCTGGAATAGTCTGGTAATTCTCCATTTTCACGTTTCCATGGCAATGAAAGAAAAATAAAAATGTTGAAAATTCTAGCAACAGTTTCGCTGGATTTTCGATCTATTGAACATTCAATTGTATTTAAAGTAGAATTTTCCCGATGAGTACGAAAATTCTTTTATGGAAAAATGAATTATTATTCAACATGAAAACCCCAATTCTCATAAATTGTCATGAAATAAAAAATTGGTATTACCCACTGTTTTTAATTGAAATCGAAGTAAAGCTTATATAAGTCAAAATTCAGACGGTTTGTGAGGATTGTGAGTGATTTTGTATCTGAAATTTCAATCTATTTCAACAATGCATTGAAAAGAGTTTTTAGTTGTCTTTGGGTGAATTTTAACGGAATTAGTGGTGAATAGTTGACGATTCTTGGAAAAAATGGTTCAGGGATAAAAAGGAAGTGCGGAAAAAAACCATAGCTGTTGTCCACCATTATTTTAATTCATGACCATTGGTTTTATGGATTGAACGCTCAGCGATTTGTGGTGGCAGGTGTCTGCGTTTATTTTCCGCATTCTATGCCAAAACGAAAGAGCCCGTGGCGTTAATGGAATAAATAAGTGGATAAACCAACTACAACTGACTGCATGTCGAGGTTCAACATCTACACGGTTTGTTTCCCTTCGCTTTGTTTCAGGATCAGAAATTTTAATTTCCTTGGGAGATATTTTGTTCCTGGGTTCGTGTGCCGCATGTTAAAATTTCCTCTTTCCGTCTCGTCTGCGGTTGTCCCGCAATTTCGGACAAGTAGAGTTGCTCATGCTGTTGTTTTTTATGAGCTGCAGTACGAACCAAGTTTTCCCACTCATCCCAGGGCTAGATACCTCTCTGTCTTCAGTAAAAGCGAAATTTATCTCAGGGGGAATGGAAGAGGCTTGTCGATTCGGATTTAACTTTCAAACGGAAGGATTGTACTCATTCAACTGCACATTTTTTATTTTTTGTTATTTTTGTTATTTAATGGGTTATGATGGTATGAGAATTTTTCATTTTTTCGACTTTCAACTTGAATTCTGTTGGATGAAAAAATGTCAATTTTTGATTGTCGGAATTCGAATGGAGATTTTCAAAAGATTAATTTTTCTAGATCTTTAATTTTGTTCTTATATACACGATGCTGCGCACATAAAAGCATCTTGAATATCCACTTTTCGCCCTATTTTCTGGCAGTGAGTACAGTAGAATGGAAAAATAGCTAATGGATTTTACGCGTGGGTTTATTAGATATCCGCTCAGGTAGATACCCCTGCTTATTACACTATATACATCGTGCTATTATTATTTTCACATACAACTCGTGGATAAGAGGAGAGTTTTTCCTATTGAACAAGGAAAACGCGCCTCTCCAATCATATCAATTATATATCGATTCCAATTTCCATTCATTACTGGTGAATATTCATTATTATAATATTCATACTGAGAATAATCTTCTCTTTGTTGCTAAAGGCTTGACACCAAAAAATATAATTCACACAAAAAATCGCTGATATATAATCTATATATAATCCAAAAATCGCCCAAGATATTGCTTATTCCGTACTCATGATAATGTCATTGTATTATTTCATTTGCCCACCAACAATGCCACATATTTAATTGAGCATTTTCAATTACGACGTGGGTAATTTAAGTTTTGTAGATCGCTTGTTTTTCGTTCAGCTACTCTTTCCATTTTTTTGACCTAATCCGTAAATTAGCACAGCACTTGCCCACAAATGCAGTATATATTCGTAATTATTCCTCTATACAATTTTACCTCAGATTTATTCTTGAAACTTTTATTGTCTTGATAGAGTATGTAGAATTACTACAGATATTTTTTACTCGGAAGTACAGCCTCTACTTGTGCATAATAAAATAATGAAAAGGATGAATTGATTGGGATTTCGTTGGAATTTTTTAAATTTTCATTCAGGGTACAACGAAGTTCGATAATTAAAAATAAAAATGTCACATTGAGAGATGTTTTGTTTGAATTATTAACGAGCAAAGAGGATGTGTATTGGGCTCTTCCAACTCCAGTTTTTTAACGGTAAAATCAGATAACACATTTCGTTGCGATTTTGTGGAAAGTGAGGAAGAATACTCCACTAATTATCAATGAAATAAGACTGACAGAAGTTACGATTCCATGTACGATTCTCTTGACATTCTGTTTGCTGTCCTCCAGTTGTTTTCTTTCGTCATCCTGCTTTGCTTCCTCGATTTTACTCTCCAGTCTCAGCGTGTGCCGATATTCAATTAGAATGGCGGTAAACTGCAAAAGTGTCAAACAAATCTGCGTAAACAGAATAAGTGTAATAAATGTACTCAGCCCACCGCATTTAATGAATCTTTGCATCTTAAAAGATTCAACAATAATTTCCACTTAAATTTATGAAATACCCTACTTTATACTTTTGTAATACAATACAATTGAATTGTGAGGGGGAAAGATAAAAATAGTATTGAACTTTTTAATAATTATTACTAATCCTCTCGGCCGAGAACAATTGCTTTGTACGCATGGAGACAGTTATCTCCCGATTGGTCACGTTCTTAGCGATTAGTACTATGATTTATATTCGTCATATCTATAGGCCTCGGGATATTGGAAATCTTATAGATTATGCAGCTAAAGAATCAGTATTGAATCCCACTGTTTTGAAAATCTATGATAAATTAACGCCAACAATGTGTGATCGTTTCATTATCGTTTTACCTTTCGATTGGTACATCTAGGCTATTCGTCGAGAACATTATGCTGTGAATCAAATTTCCATCCATTATTGGCGAATATTCATACTGATAATATTCTTCTCTTTGTTGCTTCTCTTCTCTTGTCTCTTCTCTTGACACCGACAATATAATTCACACAAAAAATCGCTAATATATAATCTATATATAATCCAAAAATCGCCCAAGATATTGCTTATTCCGTACTCATGATAGTGTCATTGTATTATTTCATTTGCCCACCAACAATGCCACATATTTAATTGAGCATTTTCAATTACGACGTGGGTAATTTAAGTTTTGTAGATCGCTTGTTTTTCGTTCAGCTACTCTTTCCATTTTTTTGACCTAATCCGTAAATTAGCACAGCACTTGCCCACAAATGCAGTATATATTCGTAATTATTCCTCTATACAATTTCACCTCAGATGTATTCTTGAAACTTTTATTGTCTTGATAGAGTATGTAGAATTACTACAGATATTTTTTACTCGGAAGTACAGCCTTTACTTGTGCATAATAAAATAATGAAAAGGATGAATTGATTGGGATTTCGTTGGAATTTTTTAAATTTTCATTCAGGGTACAACGAAGTTCGATAATTAAAAATAAAAATGTCACATTGAGAGATGTTTTGTTTGAATTATTAACGAGCGAAGAAGATGTGTATTAGGCTTTTCCAACTCCAGTTTATTAACGTTAAAACTAGAATGCACATTCATGTGTGAATTTGTACAAACAGAAGAACAATGCTGGGCTAATTATCAATGAAGTAAAACTAACATAATATACGACATTATGTGTCATTCTCTTGACACTCTGTTTGCTGTCCTCCAATTGTTTTTTTTCGTCATTCATGTTTGCCTCCTTGATTTTCCTATCCTGGCTCATAGTGTACAGACGTTCAACTAGAATGAAGCTAAACTGCATAATTGTACAACATAAATGTATAAACAGAATAATTGTGGTTACCATACCCACATGTAAGCAACCAGCAAGGCTTAGCATCTTAAAAGATTCAACAGTAATTTCCACGTAATTTTATGAAATATACTACTTTATACTTTTGTAATACAATACAATTGAATTGTGAGGGGGAAAGATAAAAATAGTATTGAACTTTTTAATAATTATTATTAATGCTCTAGGCCGAGAACAATTGCTTTGCACGCATGGAGACAGTTCTCTCCCTTTTGTCACGTTCTTGACGATTAGTATTATGATTTATATTCGTCATATCTATAGGTCTCGTGATATTGGAAATCTTATAGATTATGCAGCTAAGAAATCAGTATTGAATCCCACTGTTTTGAAAATCTATGATAAATTAACGTCAACAATGTGTGATCGTTTCATTATCGTTTTACCTTTCGATTGGTACATCTGGGCTGTTCGTGGAGAACTTTATGTTGTGAATCCCAAGGGTGGAATCCATTGTGAAGGCAACAACACCCCAGCTGTACGAATTCTAAAGGATCAATATCTCGAGACATGTTTGACAATACAATTTTTTGCACTTATCAAAGCTTATACTCATTATATCACACCTAAAATTGATCCGTACACTGAGAGAAATATTCAATAAAAATTACGTGTATTTTCCGTAATTCTGGAGCGAAATGTGGTTGTCGGAAATTTTACGGAATTGTCACGTAATTTTTATCTAAAGTCACGGAAATTTTCTGTGGTTTTCCGTAATTTTTATTTGAATAATCGGT